ACACGAGACTGTGCCCGGTGAAGAGCCTAAGGCGCACAAGAGACTGTTCGGTGCAGGGCCTGATGCACGCGCGGGACTGTGTCCGGTGCAGGGCCTGAGGCGCGCGCGGGACTGTGCCCGGTAAAGGGCCTGAAGCACACACGATACTGTGTCCGGTGCAGGGTATGAGGCACGCACGAGACTGTCCGGTGCAGGGCCTGAGGCGCATCCGAGACTAGTGCTAGTATTTGGGTTTTAGGAGCCCGTAGCCTGTAGCGGTCATTTAGCAGTGATTTAGCGCCCACTTCTTTGTCTAACGGTCTTAATTTATTCGGCGCATGCATAAACAGCGCGCTACATGCTCTTAGTCATCAGGTCGGAACTAGGCTTGTTAAAGCTAAAGTTATACAAAGTTGCAGGACATTAAAAAGACGAGTGGATTATTTGAAAATGTATGTGCTTCATGAAGTCTAAAGCAGCCCTCGCGTCCAAGATTGGTTCTTGTCCAATGGAGGAGCGTAGAGACAGTCCCCGTCGTGCGTGAGAGCCAAAGTACGGTGGCGTCCAGGTTCCAGGCGACGACACTGCACAAGTTCGTGGACAACATACAGAGGGTGATCATACCGAGTATACGTTGGCATTTGACCTGGCAGAATAAATATGTGAGTTCCGTGTGTATGGCCGAAACAGCGGTGACAAGGGCTGACTTCCTACTGGCTGTTGTCGCGATGAGAGGACGCCCAATTACCCACCGTGTGCTGCATTGCCCTGAATTTATTTTCGCGTTGCCGTGGGTTTCGATGTTCGCCTGTTCCCAAGCCTGTTGTCAGTTGTTTTGTTTTTTTGTTGCTGCCAGACGAGCAGATGACAACCGCTTTCCGTCCGAGTATAGCGCTTGTACAGAAGTAGGTGGAGGACCATCTGGACCGTCTTTAGCAGAAGCATCAGCTTTGTTATTCTTAATTGGCCCCATCTGTCCGGCAGTCTACACAAAGACGCGTCCAAACATATTTTCCGACCCCCTCCGGAGCTAACACCTGCCAAAAGCTATGCATGCTCAGTTTCCAAATGGTTACAGCGAAGATGCTGCTAAGGGATGCTGACAATTAAAAAATGTTCTTCCCTGCGGGTTTTTTGCGTAAAACAATGTGTCTCCCACTGCACAGAGCTCAGCAGAAACAGTCAAGCAGTGTTGGAACAATGTAATACTCTTCGTCCAGTCGCCACAAATCGCATCGCACGCTGCCCCTCTGTCTTACTTGGAGCTATCCGTATATATACATATATATATATATATATATATATATATATACATATATATATATATGTATATATATGTGCATATATGTATATATATATATATGTATATATATATATATGTATATATATATATATATACGCACGTGTTTCTCTCCGAGTAAATACATCAACGAACCTACGACCCATTCAGCACGCCTTTGGGACACAACGGGACGCGGAAACCCTAATAACACTGAAAGCTTGGACTGAGGGGTCTTTAATGCCTACCCTAACCGAATTAATGGTCCTTGTGGGAGGTAGGTTCAATCTGGCTTCCCCTTTGGCCGGAAGAGGAGCTTGTCAAGACGTCTGAGGCATGCCCTAGACTGTGTCCCTCGCAGGGCCCGAGGTACGCCCTAGAATGTGTTAGGATGGAGTACGCCCTAGACTGTGTCCGGTGCGGGACCTGATGTACGCCCTAGAATGTGTTAGGCGCAGGACCTGGAGTACGCCCTAGACTGTGTCCGGTACAGGACCTAGGGTGCGCCCTAGACTGCGTCCGGTACAGGACCTAGGGTGCACCCTAAACTGTGTCCGGTAGAGGACCTGACGTGCGCTCAGCTCCGCCTCCACTGCCGGCTGTGGACGCACCAGCACGAGCTGTCAGCCCCGTCGGCCGAAGATTAGGGTCGGAAGTCTGCAGACGGCTTCATTTATGTTCACTTTCATGTGCAGCTGAGTTCGCTCATCATCAGAGCTCTTTACACACTCTTTGAATGATTTGATTTCCTTGTCGTACTCCAGGCGAGCCTCTGTAACTCTAGCATATGAGACTAAATACCGACGAATTCTTTCTGTATCAACTTTCCGATCATCTCGCTATTCTTTCACCGCGTCTGTGGATATTTTTGCGGCGAAATCTGACGTACCATGTTTGAAACGCCTTTCTCGTTTTGTTGGGCTGCTGTCTCGTCGCAAGCTTTTGATGGACTGGAACACGGGAGATCGTCCCGCACGACTGTCAGGAGTCGGGGCGCTGACGGTCTGATGACGAGTCGGATGACGGCATTCAGGAGGCCTGACCTGCTGCTCGCTCCTGAGTGCCGTCATCAACAGCACCAGCCAACCGTCGCAGCTTTCACAGCGGGAACACCATGCGGTAGCTTACCCTGAATACACCAAGGGCTTAAGAACCCAATCAAAATGTGCCCAACCCAATCCCGTGCGTCCGATCACCGCTAGGGCCGCGCGACCTCCGGCATTCACGCGTGGCTAATTGGCGGAACTGTTGAACGCTACTTTCAGCACTCATCTTCTGTCAGATATAACCAGCGACACAAAATCGAAGTGTTCACATCGAGAAAGCAAGCTGGACGAGCTTCACTCGACGGACGTAACCAGTCGTCTGTCGTCATATGAAGCATCTATAAACAGGAGCAAAGCGTATATATACGGACGTAACCAGTCGTCTGTCGTCATATGAAGCATCTATAAACAGGAGCAAAGCGTATATATACGGACGTAACCAGTCGTCTGTCGTCATATGAAGCATCTATAAACAGGAGCAAAGCGTATATATACGGACGTAACCAGTCGTCTGTCGTCATATGAAGCATCTATAAACAGGAGCAAAGCTATGCGGATGCTTATGCTTGCCGATTCGCCACTGGTTGGTAAGAACAGGCGCTCTAAATGGGTGCCAGGCAGTATGAAATACTTTTCAGGCCTGACTGCATCGTCATTTCTGAACTTGAAAAGCTTTCATCAGCAAGTGTCTGAATACATAAGATATACCCTATTGCGACACAAAAATATATTTCGTGTCACGCACAGTTCAAGTTTATTAAAGTATATTTATTTTTGCATCTCGAGAGCAAAAGCAATGTAAAGACTTCAACACTCTTCCGTATTTACACATTTACCCCCCCAACACTAAGCGCTTTAACAAACTGCACCCTTGCAAGGTCACAACACATACCACATTTCTTCACTCGAACAGTCAGCAGAACCACCTGACCAGCAATAAAATGAAATTGGCGTAGAACGATTGAGCGAAGTGGTTCGTCGTTGACATGTGTCTATGGAAAACACGCCTTAAATATTACTATGATCCGTTTTTTGATTGCAACCATTTTGTACTTTAAAAACACAAAGTTGTAAAATCTTTCCGAAAATTACTGGTGCCCGAGCCCAGCGGACGCCATTGGTAGTTACGCCCAGACATGAATCAGTTCATCTATTCTGTTAAAATGCCAAGTCCCCGTTATGATAAAGAGTCAGCGACAAATCGCCTCTGGCGTTTCCTCGCCTCCCACGTGGGCATTCCAGGTTCCATTCCAGGCTAGCTAAGGGTTCCGTTTCCGGCGCTTGTATGACAGCTGCTGCTGCTAACGCCCCATGCGATGGCGGTTGCCGCGTAATATTTTACAAGACTTATGACATTCGCCTAAACATTCCATCAAATGTCAAAACATTCTTAACAATTCGTTTCCAGAGCTGATCAGTGTCAGGGCTGGGGGTGTCAGCTGCATTTGCGTATGAACAGCAAGTGTATTTTTCCATGGCACACAGAACAAAGGTAGCAAGGCAAACCGGTAGTTAGGCGACACCCAGCATCACCAGGCTGTATGGGCTGAACAAGCCGGCCGCGCTGTGTGAGTGATAATGATTGCCGCTTTATCGGCCGCCCTGCCGGCCCATGGCTGAAAATAGCCTCTGTGGAAGCGCAGAGGCGGCACGGCACACCCCGGCGGCGGTAATACGCTCCATTCTGTCACACTCTCGAGCCGCCAGCTACTGCACCGGGGTCTTACATTTGTGCAAACATCTGTGAGGTGACTCGCAAAGATCAGTGTCGAAGTATCCAGACCCGATACCAAGCAGCTATGAACCTGCAGGTCGGCAGCCCGAGAACACCTTCTCTGCCATGCTAAACTTCGAACAGCATCGGCGTCAGGCCGGACGCTAGGCATTTGTTGACGTCATACCAATTACAGGACGCTTCAGCCAAGCACAACTTTGCAAGCCGATTGTAGCTAGTTACGCGCGATTTTTGCAGCTTCGACAACTCACTTGCAATAAAAGGGCGATGACTAGCGAAATAACATGCAAAATATGAAAATGTATTCGGAAGTCATTACTCCATTGGCGTCGATAACTTGAAAGTATGCGTTCTTTGGCTGTATCATCCCATTCAAGACACCGTGACATTGGTCCGTGCGTATGCTTGCTTAATGTGCCAGGCTTTGCTTCCAATCAAAACTTCATGCCAAACTCCTTACGTACACGTAAACGCGCTATCGAATAGATCGTAACTAGGATCATATTGTCATCGTCTCTAGTTTATAACGTCACATTCGTGAGAGAGCGTCCGTGGTTGTGATGTTCTGACGCGCACGATATAGACATGAGAATACTTTTACATCTCCCTTATTGCATATCGTTTTATATGCATGATGGGACATCAGTGATAATGCTGTCATGACTGCGATATCGTGGCGGCCGTAATGACAACAATTACAATTACTTGCGGCATATGAAATGGTAGGAACACAACAATTTTCCATGTTTTTGGACCATGAACCCAATAGAACACGCTACCAACTGGACAAATCGTTCATTATATAGAGATCGTCCAGATCCGCAGCCGCGGTACAAACACATCCGCGGTACAGCCGCGGTACAGCACATCCGCGGTACAGCCGCGGTACAAACACATCGGGGTCAGCTAGCAAAATAAGGTGTATTTCCGCAAAACAGATCAGAGATAGATACAGCTTGCATCATCACATCACATCACATCACAGCAAGGCCACGCGTTTTGTCTGAGGACCAGGTCTTTGTGGTACTCCATTTCTCTGGGCAAAGCAATGAAAGCTACCATCATAAACAAGCGTATCAATCGTGTGTTCGCAACATGCACATTTTGCAGACATGGCAATAGTGTATGTGGCATTGCCTCGTTTTATTTCACTACGTGCGGAATCACCATTGCCTCATAGCCAACATCCGCTGTACATCGTGCTTGCTGAATAGATAGCATAGTTGCCGTGGCATAATTAGCGCGGCTTCTGCTGAATCAAAGCCCGGCGAGCAGCCTGCCGAGACTACGACTTCCGCTGCCGGCCCGTCCGCGGTGCAATGCACGTTATGTCGCCCAGTAGCTGGCATCCCGCCAGCGCTGGCCGCCCCGCCTCAGTCGCCCTCCCGGAGCAGCAGGCGCACGCTGCCCGGGCGCTGCACGTCCTGCGACCAGCGGGGATCTGTGGTTGTCCGGCTCCGAATCAGACCGCCGGCCTGGGAGGTCACGATGCTGTTCATGTGGTAGAGTATGCCGTTGGTGTTGGTGAGGTACGGGTACATCACCGTCCCGCCGCCGGAGAACGAGAACGAGCCGTCCGTGGTCTCGTAGGCCACTGGCATTCCGAGCGACATGACCACGCTCTGGGAGCGGCTCACGGCGAACTCCACCCCATCGGCCGGCCCTGAGGAGACATGTGGTCGAACGGTAGTCAGACGCTGGCACCGGACAGACACTGAGAGACGGGATAAGACTTGGAAGCTGACCCGCTGAGGCAGGCTCGGGAAGACCCAGACTGGAGAATGATACACTGGTGACTGTAGACAGGGTGGGCTGTCAGAGGATGACATATTAGGAGCAAGTTTCGGACGCGCGTGCATGCGCACACGCATACGCACACCCGTGCACACCTTTGCATGCATCGAAGTGCCTCATGTCCTAAGAGACCAAAGGACCCAAGCTTCGGTAAGCTCTGGGGCTAACGTGATGCCCAAGGCGTCGTCTGGCACTACGTTTCTCAGTGCATTGCATTCACAAGCGCGCTGTCTGCACAGCTCAGAAGGTTATTGCTGTGGGGATGACATTCCCAGCATGCATCCGAGATACTATGCGCGTACATGCCGTGACAAATAATGGGCAAAATTTACAGAGGAGGCGCCCGCGTTGTGGATGAAAGATCTCGGCATAGGTTGCCATATTGTATGTTCAGTCGTTTGGGTAGTTTCATCCAGGTCAGTTTCATATTTTGTACAATAGGCTGAAAACGTGAGCATAAGCTTGTTACCTCATTATAGGAGCTTTGAACTACATGCAAACTGGCCCAATGTTGGTTGATAACGCGCGCTCGGGCGGGGGTCAGTTTGAACCCCCAAATTTTCCAAAATGGTTTTCAAACGGCGCGGCGTAGGGGCACCAAATTTTGCAGAGCTTTAGAAACTTTGATGAAAAATATTTTGGTGTAAAACATTTTGATGGGTTGTGTAAGGTTGCTGACCTATGGCGGCTCAAGGTCATGCCATGGATTCAACGAAGACGTTTCAAGTGAAATGTTCAGTCTGATGCAACAACGAAGTGTTAGACGAAGCCATACATCTCTGAGATTGTTTCTTAGGCAAAGCAACAATTGAATGAACAAATTCCATTGGCCTAGGGTCAGGTATGAAAGTCAGATTTACGTCAAAGCCAACCAGTTTTGTTACTCTGGAGTTTGTTCTTTGGGGGTAGTTTTTGACACTCATTTCGAGTTTATTTATAACAGAAACCACATTATGCATCTTCCATAGACTCATAGAGGTTAGGACAGGCCACTGACATAAATTCACCCTGACCAACATTTTTTTTTTTTGGAACACATTGCCTGGCATAGTCTCTGACACTTATTCAAGCGCAAAACTCTAAGCAGTCTTGTATGGTTTTGTAACCATGAGTTCTGAAAGCTCAGACAAGATAAGTTACCTTAAATGAGCACCAGTAATCATTTGATTAGAACAGGTATCCAGGTTCTGCGGTTTCTTAGACACCAGTCTGGATTTTGACCTTGTTTGACCTTATTTACCCCAAAGGCCATGATCTAGGAACCATTAATTTCGGCGCAAGTAAGTTCACGTGCAGGCCAATGCATCCTAAGAATTTGGTATATCTAGCTCTCTCAGCTTCTGATATCTTATGGGGGTTAAATCGACTTCGTCTCGAGCGAAGGGTATTCCACCGGCCACCAAGGCGCGTGTTAACTGAATCACATATATTGCAAGGAAGCAACTCGTGCGACACCTCAGTGACTGATAAGTGAAGAAGCGCTGTCGACAAACAGTGAAATACATTAGCTTGAGGCAAAGCAATGCCGTATGATAAAGAAAACATTCACGCCCGCATCCCTCCATGCAACCAGCTAAGCAGCACAATACCTAAGCTAGCGACAAAGTCATGCTGTAAAACTTCCACGCCCGCATTCCTCTATGCAAAATTCAGCGGTTAGTGACGTCACCAGCTGGTTACAGGACCGCAATGCATGAGAAATGCCGCCATTTCTCCCAGACATATGCAATGTGCACCCACCACTCGCGAGTCAGCGAAACCTCAGCATTGGCGAGCGGTCTTCGGAGTCTCACTTCAAATACGGCGTAAACTTAGCTCATGCCGTTTCAGGTCAAGGAAAAATGTACGGACAAGACAATTTCTATCGAATTGCCTAAGCAGGCAATCGCTAGTTAAGCTGAGGCACATAGTTCTTGTAAAACAATAGTTTGTGTCAATAAGTCACGAAACTTATGTTTTTTTCTCAAATGGCGTGTCTCAAACGCCGTCGGCGCCTCGCCATTTACGCGACGGAGGCTGCTATGCACCAGCTGGTAGCGCGGCAGTAACTGCTTGCTGACCGGGGCCTTGATTCAACCAATACGATAACCCGACTCTGAATGCTGCTAATGCCTCCGTCTGACACTATCGTGGGTAGATTGTATTGAGTCAGTGTAACCTGCGCCCGGCCGCGTAGGGAAGTCGACTCTCCACTACGGTTGTTCAAGCACAGAAAAACGAACCCCTGCAGCAGCAACACATTTTCCGCACCTGACGTTCTTCCAAGTTGCCATCATTCGTGCAAATCTACAGTTTGACCCGCCAAGCGTAGTGACCAAGGTGATATCAGAGAGCCGGGTTATCGTGAAGCCTCTAAAAACTTTGATCACACCTAACTTTGTCGTAGTTAATTTATTTTTGTTTAAATCTGATATGGCTATAGATAACCTTCAGAACCAAGGGATTTCAGTGACTTCAGGTCGATCAAATTTGTGCTATTTTTCGTAAATAATGCAACTTTGTACGCACTTCTGCGTAGTTTTGGTGTTTGTGTACGAGAAAAAGAGTACGAACCTACATGCACAACTATGTTGTGGCCACAACGCACATGAGCTTGGCCCAGGTCATGACCTATCTCTGGAGGTGCTTTCTGCAAAACACACGCTAGCCTCACAATAAGCATTTTTAAGGGATTTTGGGCGCAGTATTCTCAAGTAGCAACATGCTGTGATATCGTTATGATGCGTAATGAGGGCACAGTAAGTCATGTGAGGATTTGTAAGGACATGTGAGACCGTCCAAGGCCGACGACCCTTATTGTAGTTAGAGGAGAGACTAGATGAGCGAGTGCGATGCATGTAACCACCTCTATATCGTACTGTCAAGCTGATGACGTAAAATTTCATTTACGAACATGTCTGCACAAATTCAGCACCAAATGTCGAAGGGAGGATGTACAATGTATACAACGGTTATGTGATATTGAGTGTCTGTAGATATTTAACACACTATTTCTGACAACAGAAAAACATTATACTGGCCACTTAGACCCGATAAGCGCCTCAAATGTTGCCATTTGAATGGGTTACAAATTTGACCTAAGCTGACCTCAAGTGTCCTTTAGGTAAGCTTAAAATGGCATTTATTTTTGGGACACTTTTCCACAGCTGCACCTTATAAGATAAACTGGGTCAGAAACACTTAATGAACAAAATAAAAAGTATCGTGTTTGTAGGCTACTGGTAGACCAGTTTTGAACGGTGACCTGCTCTGATCTGACTCTTGTGAGGGAGTAGAAGTGGTCTGAATGGACTCCCAATAGTCTTAACGCTTGCCTCTGTACCCTCAATACTCGTCTTGATGTGTTAACTTCATCCATCAAAATAATCATTTTTGGCCTTTCGTGACCTCTGGTGACCCCAAATTTAACCCGAGGTAAACAAATTCGAGTGCGTTCCTCATGACTTGACGAGACATTCACAACGGCACCGTTGTTTTCTCATACGACGTCTGGAAGTTGGGGGTTCCCGAGAACGTCAACTCGCCCCAGCCGGGCGTGGTTGTCTGAGACCCCAAGCTGGGCGCGGGTTAAGGCCAGCGCCGCTGCAGGCCTACGGGTCAAGCAGCACCGCTGCAAGCCCACGACTCATCAGGTGACGGCAGTCCCGCCCACATGGCGTCAGCTTTAGATGAGGCTTACTAGTGAGAGAGCTTTCCGTTATGCGGCGTTGTAGGGGACGGGCAAGCCCGAGACGGGGCTCCGACGTAGGGCGAGGCTGTTCCATGTTTTCACCGAGCGAAGGCAAAGGTCAGGCATGTAGCTCGTTCGTTTGCCAACGCCGTTACGTCTTTTAATTGCGGCAAAGCTGGCGTGATGCAAAGGTCTGCGATTACTCAGACTGTCGCTACTCAGTACTTGGAAGCACTAGAAACACGTTTTGTGCTTTGACTGCGACCGCAAAACGCAACATTTGTTTGCGGTTTTCAGACTTCCAAATGCTGACTTTTAAGCTTACCAGCATTCGACATAATTTTACGCATCGCAAATAGAGAACGAGGTAAAAAGCGCCCATTAACACTCAACAAAATCTTTAACTTCAGAACATGGGGAGGAGTGAAGTCGCTCGCCTGCCAGCACTTTGGTTGAAGAGCAACCGACCCAGTGGAGGTCCAGGAGAGAGTGACGGCGGCCCCCAGTCAGCTGCCGTTGCTGAAGTCCATCGGAACGTTGCATTCGTTTGTTTTCGTTCGGGAAGACAGGCACATGCTCAGACGTATGGTGCGCGTTTCTTAGCACGCGCTCGTTGGAGGGGGGGGGGGGGGGGAGGCGGTCAATTTGATGGGTCCGAAGGTTCTCCCAGAATACTTTTTGAACGGCTACCCCAAAATTTGCCTAGCTGTAGATAAGTGAATAGCGGATTTTTGAATGTCAGCGAAAGGCATTTCTAGGGAATTGTTCAGTGTGATGCAACAACGGAGTGCTAGGCAAAGGCATGCATATTTGAGATAGCTTCTTACGCAACAAACCTATTAAATCGAGAATACAATCGATCTCAGTGATCTAGGAACAGGTCTAAAGATCATACCAAAACAAAACTTCCCGCTTTTTTACTCGAAAGCTTGGATTGTAAGGAAGTTTCTGAAGCCCATTTCAAATCTATTAATGACAGGGGCCGCAACAGGCATCTTCCATGCAATTTTTAAAGGTCAGAGGAAATCACTGACGTAAAATGCCTCAGAACACCGTTTTGGTTTTAGGAACTTACCGCCTAGCGCAACGCTTCATATATGCTTCATATATTCATATATCAATAATCACGAAATGCCTAGCTAATACGTAATGCTAATTGTTATATATATATATATATATATATATATATATATATAGGTGTGTATATATATATATATATATATATAAATATATATATATATATAGTTTATTGGAATGACAAAATAGAAACAATCTCTTGGGCATTTGGTCATAGCTCAACCACTGACCTTTTGGCTAGAGCAAGTATGCAGCTCCACAGCGGTTGCATGGGTGGGCTTGAGGGCACATGAGACACCAACCCAGAGTTTGACATTGTTTGATTTTATTTGACCCCAAAGTCATGACCTAGGACCTTCAAATTTGGACCAAATCAATTCACATACGGGCCAACCTGTGCTGCGAATTTGGTGCTTCTAGCTATGTCAGTTTTTTAGTCTCAGGATGTCAAGTTGACGGCCACCCAAGCAAAGGGTATTTAACCAGCCAACAGCTCTAATGAAACAAGCGCACTTGGAACGGCTGGAATACTTTTCAAGTGGAAAAAATGCTTTAAACAGCACAATTCTCTGTCCACTAAATATGATCCTCAATGCGTCATAGTTTGATTACGTCATTGTACCATGCACAACATTGACTGAGAGCCAATTGACGGCGCTCATGTCTGGAAAGAATGCTCAAGAACGGCAGATATGAACACCTCGAAAATAATATTTTTGCTTGGTCTTGGTAGCCACATGGTTTACGGAATGGCAGGATTTGAATGGCGTCATGATGACGCCATGAATACGAAGGTGACTTTGGAATGCTCTCCTCGATATATCTCCCCATTTCGCGGGTGTCTAGCCCAGAAACTAGAGGGGCTTAGGTTAGGTTAGGTTTAAGTCTTAAGAATGGCAGAGTAATGAACAGTACCAAAAGGTATTCAAGATGGCTATTTCAGTCCAGAGCCCCCTATAAATGTGGAACACTCCCTTTAAGACGCTCAAAAATGTAAGGAACTACTTCGGAAACGTTCAACTCAGAAACTGCCTCATACTCCAGAAAGCACTGGGCCTCAGTGCCTCAAGATTACCACTGAATCACTCCATTTGCTTCTGCATGTTCAAAAAGTCCCGAAACGTTCTGATGGCACAGTTGTATTAAACTTGTGGACCTGATGCAGGCCTCCTAAGTTCAAAAGGCTGTAAGACATAATTAAATGCTGACACCGCAATCAGTTTTATCGCAGCCGTGTCGGGACGGGTGCTTCGCCTTAAATCGCACTCGAAATCGTTTCAACTTTGAAAGGCGCGGCCTCAAATTGTGGACGCAATCTTTCAACGTTACGGTAGCCTCACATCCGGGCGGTGCCAGGGTTGTGGCCATATCCATTCACCATGCAATCAGCTGAAAACCCAATGGGGTGGAGTGGGGCATAAGCCCACCCACAGGGTCCGCGACGATGAGGCCGTTATAAATGCACCGCCCGGAGGTGATGTCGTCGTAACGTTGGAAGAATGCATCGCTACGGCCGGCTGCAGCTCATTTTGTCGCTCCCATTTGAGCAGCTTCCATTGGGTTTATGGAAACAGCTACCTGAGGTTTGGAAATACAGTAAACCAGAGTTCCCTACGGTGCACGCTACTTGGTTCAAAACATGTTCAAATCAGCAATAAAATGGTGAACGGGTCGATTACCCAGCATATTACAATGCCACTGCCAGAACTCCTGGGCCTCGCTGACGTCACAGGCTATGCTTTGTCGTGTCTACGGGCCCTAGTCACAGCTAACAGTTCCACGCCAAGTCACGAGCCGGTGGCGGTCGGCAGAGGAGAAACGCTTACCGATAGCGCTGACCACGACCACATGGTAGTCACCAGGTCTGGAGTCTCTGATGGCGTCCCCGGCCCTGCCGCACAGAGACAGGGGACGATCGAGGGTCAGAGCCGCGACCCCATATGACAACCTGTGCTGTAATCGCACCGAAGCATGCACCGAAGGAAGAGCCGATGTGAAAGCAAACGATATCAGAGCCTATTGGGTCCTGGTCCACGTTCTTCGTTTTTCACGAAGGGAGACGCAACCCTCATTGTTGACAGCTTTCCAGCCACTCAGGTGTCGAACAGAGAACACCAAGCCTTTTTTCACGACGGGACACGCGACCCTCAATGTTGACGGCTTTCCAGCCGCCCAGGTGTCGACCAGACAACACCAAGCCTTTTTCACGAAGAGAGACGCGACCCCCACTGTTGACCGCTTTCCAGCCGCCCAGGTGTCGACCAGAGAACACCAAGGCTTTTTTGTGATCGTGTCGCGACAACTTGGCGCCCCCTGACTTCAGCCACCAGTGTCTGTTCTTCTGTAGCGAGGTTCAACGCTCCCGCGTCAAAACGCAAATGCGAGGTCGTCATGGCTGCCCATGTAAACGTTTCCACTGATCCCGGTGGCGTGTGCTTCTACCATCTCTTATCATGCATATTATCTTGTATGTTAGGGCAGTCCCATGTGCTTTGACACGTGCCCTTTGTTTCTAATCAGCGCATCCACTAGATTTATGTCAACATCTTTACCAGTATTTTGGCGTCTGGCGTTACGGTGTTATGGCCAACTGGCTACCTGAAAATCCACCCGTGAATGAACTGAGAGACAATACAATGCAATAGGCACAATGACACCACAGATATGCATACGCATGCCGAAATGGAAGAAAGAAAATATTTTTGTTGCTTAAGATTTTTACATACTTCAGTCATTATGTCATATTTTACTCAGGTCATTGACTGTTGATTTCATATTGCCAAGTTCGTTCTTTATTCTTAGTTGTGACAACGAAGACATCAGTACCGCGCCACAAGCTGACCATGATGATTTAAAATTAGTTTTGGAGTTTATGGGCTAAGGCAAAGCAACGGTAGTGTGCCAATACCTAACTTACCAGAGATGGGAAACAGGGTCACCGCCGCCGGGGATATTGCCACTTTCAGTGTAGATGAAGTTCAGCCGGTTTGACGTCGTCCACCGCGTGAACCAAAACGGAGCTTCCAAAAGCATCGTGTATCCGCCTTTTCTGTAGTTCATCACGCAGTAGAAGAGAATTTCTTCTCCTTTGACGGCACCCCAGTAAGCGTGATCGGGCGATTCAACCTTGATCTCGTATACATCTCTACAGGTGCGTGTGACGTCAGTGGTGCAGATCCTGGCGATGCATGAGCCGCTACCCGCCTGGCAGTCGGTGTCATGGCGGCAGAACTCGCCTGTCGTCGAGCTGTTCGGCATGAAGAAGTACTCCTGGGTAGACTGGCTCGACGGCAGGCGGGTGAACTCGCTGTAGCCGCCCACCTTGCTGTACAGGACGCATGAATTCTCGTTTACATCGAAAGTGAAGCTCTTGCATCGGTCGTCCTGGTGGCACAGGCCACAGCAATGGCACGAGGAGCCCGTCTCCCGGAGTGTACTTCTACTGATTTCCAGACTTGCATCCATGGATCCGAAGTAGTGCGGAACCTCCAAGCATGCTTTGCTGACATGCAGAAAGGTGGCCAGAACAAATCCCAACAACATGGTGGTTAGCAAGGTGTTCCCGAGTGCTGGCGCGAGGATCGTTTTCAAGTCCGACGAGCAGAGATTGCCTGCAACAAGGTAACGTTCGGTAACGTTTAACGTTCAGCGTTTCGGTAACCAGTTGGGCTCGGTAACAAGGAAGCCTCCGCTTATGCCACACCCCTGGACCCAGCGGGATCCGTGTGGGAATCTTATAATCAACTGTATAGATAAACACCACAGTTCTTCGTGGATCTTCCTTGATCTCAGAATCGCTATTTCGGGGCGATCCCTTCGGCTGGTGGGCGCCAAGCATTACCGCTGAGTTAACGAACCACCTTAAGATGACATGGGGCGGAGGAGTTTGCTATAAAATTCAATACAAAATGTATGCCAGCCTGTACATGCTTTAAAATGTCAAAAATTTCAAGGAAAAGGTCTATTTTTTGGAAACATTAGCACTTCATTGCTTCTGGTAGCGACGATCCGACATTGGTGAATTCGTTTTGCCCCCCCTAGCCTGGCTTGGACCGGTCTATGCCCTCTCATACCATCGGCGATTCCACGAAAACGCTCCGGCCGGCCACAGGTGCAGCCGATGTGTACCACCCCGCGGAGGAAAAATATTCGCCTTTTACCAATAGCTTTTCGGGTCTCATTTCATCGCAGGAGGACGTGGCCCGGAGGCCGCGCGCCATTTACTTTGACGCCCCGGCTCTGACAGCGTGGCGTTAGCGTAAACGGCAGGAGGACTTCCGTCCTGGAACGGTTCTGATCTCCCACTCAAAACGGCTCTCGCTTGGATATCCCCTGCTGTCAGAGCAAGGGCGAGTTGTGAGGCGCCGGGCGTCCGTCCAGCGAAGGCCACCAAGCTCGTGCCTGGCTGGCCTGAGGCCGGAACGCCGAGCCATTGGCATCACGATCAGATTCAGACACGCTGGATCTATCAGGGACTGACATTGAAATACGCTTGTATTTTTGCCCCTGAGCTGAAATGTGGTTCAATGGATTTTTGGTGGACATTTCAACAGCTCAACCCGAGCTGATAAACCATGGCCCAGATCGCCAGAAGCCGTTGCCAGTTATCATGTCACTGGAAATCACACCAAGGTAGTCAGTTGGGAGTCGCTTTCCCACGTAATTCGAACGGTCTCCCTGGCGGCTAGTGTCTGCTTACTCGAGTGCCAACATATTGCGTGAGGGATTCCACTGCACATTCCAAAAATGACATTAAAAATTGCATTTGTGTGCCACTTGCCTCGCGGTAGTTACCTTTGAGTGCCGCTTGTCTCGCGGTCGTTACCTTTGTGTACCGCTTGCCTCGCGGTCGTTACCTTTGAATGCCGCTTGCCTCGCGGTAGTTACCTTTGAGCGCCGCTTGCCTCGCGGTCGTTACCTTTGTGTGCCGCTGGTCTTGCGGTCGTTGCCTTTGTGTGCTGCTTGCCTCGCGGTCGTTACCTTTGTGTGCCGCTTGCCTCGCGGTCGTTACCTTTGTGTGCCGCTTGCCTCGCGGTCGTTACCTTTGTGTGCCGCTTGCCTCGCGGTCGTTACCTTTGTGTGCCGCTTGCCTCGCGGTCGTTATCGTTCCCAGAGGCCTTGAGCAGCTATCAACTGTAGCATCACACAGCTCGGAGCAGCAACAAACGTAATCACCTAATTTATGTGGTGACATTTATGAGGCTTTTATGCTAGCCCTGTCAGAACTCGCTAAGATAGCGGATGCATGCTGCCAAGGCTCGGTCGGTGTTTGACGCTTCCTTCTCTCAGATGTCAGCACAACATATATGCAAAAGGTAATGGCATGCATGAAATAGTTTTATCCGCGCATCAACCGAGTCAAAACCAGAAGCATTTCGAAGAACCAAGCACGGGTATCTTTGAAGACGTTACGCTGTGTGGATAAATGTGTCAAACCCACAATATTTTACCCGGCTCAACTTGTGAAGAGACAAGGGGTGTTGTTATGACATTAACTTTTAACTTCATTATCATTTTGGCACGGTGGTATCGCAATGCCTTGGAAGCCAGTGTCACGAATGTGCTATCGCATACGAATCGAATAAGCCTTCGGACACTGCGTACGACAGAGCTAGACACATCTTTTGGACACATTCAAGAATGTTCGGGTCCGGAACAATTTAAGGTAATGTGACGTGTTGCATCTGCATGCCCTGGTGATTGTGCATGTGCTGTTGGTTCGCATGCTGTATTGGCTTGCATGGTGGTTGCTTGCTGCATGCGGTCGTGGCCGCTCTCGTTGCTGCATGCTGCATGCCCTTATGTTAGCTCCCAATGCTGCATGTTATGTATGGCCATTTGCCAGCCCAAGAGCCCTTTACATGCATAGTAGAATGATCTAGTTTGACGGTGTACTACTTCCTACTACAGGTTGTTGTTTGCCACGGTAAGATAGACCCTGCACTTTTAAGGTGCAACAAGGGCTTCGGATTGCTCGCGTAATTTCTTTAAAAGTCATGCCTCAAAATACGTGAGACACAAATGCCCACTGAAAGCCACGAGCATTGTGCTATAGCCATGCTACAAGCCATCTACATTTTCGCAACGGTTTTTTACAGGCACTGTAAACGCACAACCTTAAAAATGGTTTGTTTCCGTCGATTGTGATACTGGCAGGCATAGCTAATCCCACAGCTTGGTCCTATTCAAACGATTGGCGCTTGGATTGGAAGACGAACTTTGAATCAGTGAACCTCTGCCTAAACGATACCCATGAAAGGCAAACATCTGAATGCAGGATGAAGGTAGAATACAAGGTTGGATAGGTACGGAGATAGGATTGCTTTGGAAGAGGATTTTGCAGTCCAGAGCTTGTCAGCTTGAAAATGTGCTCAGCTCAACAGACCACAGTATCAGGATGGGCTTCAGCGGGGAAAAAAACAAATGAAGGAGGAACAGCGAACACCGATTAATGACGGGGATCCAATCTACTCATGGATAGTGAGTTACAATATATATGCAATCGCAGCAACCACAAGTGTTTCCGCTGGCATGCAGCGCTCATGTACGAAGGGAAAACCGAGAGCCCGTGAGTTTGTTACTTGATTTTTGTTGCCTGAATGCAATTAGCGTGTAGGTCACCTCTCTAAATCGATCCGCCGCTTATGATCCCGGCCACAATGCAAGATTAAAATACACATGGATTATGCCAGCCAACTTTGGTTGTTTTGATTCGGGGAAAATTATAACTTGATTCATCCTCGAGAATGAACCTAAAATGATCGGGCATCACTGACCGAAATGACACCAAAGGACCACCGGCTAGTCATGATGTATATATTTGATGAAGACGGGATAGCGACACGGAAAAGGAGGCCACATCAGACAGATTTTGAAAGAGCTTTCCGGTGACAAAAAAGAAAACAATCAGTTTAGTCAGTCTAAGCTTCATCCCGGTCCAGGCTAGAGACAGTTCGCAGGGGAAGTCCGTTTGCCAGGCAGTGTAACGTTGCATCGTCATCCCGACATCCGCCAATGGTAGCATGTTGTGAGAAAGCGAGCTCGGTTCAGTTGGCTAGCAAAATAACAATTCTGTCTCGAAATATAACAATTTGGATCACAAGGACAAAAAGCAGGAGGTTTGGGAGTTAGCATGCACCGTCAATTTGCCACTGAAATAAGGAGCGACAAGCGACGAGACAAGCGACGCTGTTTGCAAAATGCAGATGTTCGTGCTTACATAACAGTCAGGTGAAGTGCAAGGATAAGTGCAGGCCTAGTTCAGGCCTTGGACCCGAGATGAAGAATCGACATGTCGATGTTTAATTCCTGACTCACGAAACTTTCGCTGTCCCCGGTTTCGGCCAACTGCTAGCAGCTATAATTAACATGGCACTTAATACGTGAATGGTAACCAATAATGTAAAATATGAGATATGACGATGAATTAACAGATAAGTGATAGCCAAACATACATGTGAATGAACTAACATCAATCAGAAAAATGAAGCTGCCAACGAACTCTTTACGCTCGGCTGCTTGAACTCGTCACGCTCGGCTGCCCGGGCTCGTCGCACTCGGCTGCCCGAACTCGTCAAACATGTGCGGGGTTCAGGTGATCCACCTACCGCCGCCTGGCCGCCGCCGACACCGACAGCTGCCGCCGCGTCGAGCTGTCCTGCCGGTCTGCGGCCGCGCCCAGTCGGCCTCGCGCTGTTTGTATGCGCGGTCGCCGTGGACGCTCACTGTCGACCACAGCCTTCGTGACGGCGTAGAAGACGGGTAACGACCATCCCGTCTCGAATAAACACGTCAAAGGCGCCCGTGGTGCTCCGCCATCGCTCAGTGAAGACGTGAGCCAAGTGGACACTAATGCCGTGGACGCAATCTACGAGCGATTAAATCATAAGCTTTCCAGTGAGCTGGCCAATCACTGATTGCCATCGGCGTCGGAGAAGCGGCCTCAAGAAGGCTATCCGTAAACGGAATCACGCGTTGAGGTTGAGATATGTCTTGTTGGAGCGTAGACGAACCGTGACAGAACAGTTTTAGGTTTTTTGCATAGCAGGGCAGCTCTAATTTACGTTTTCGGATGGTATAATGTTACACGCCGGTGTGGTTCCAAATCATGCTAAAATATCAACCTTAAGGGTTTCAGAACACAAACGCCGAGCGCCGTTGGCTGGGCCTAATGACAAGCATGAGGCGTTCCTGCTATTTCTTTTACATGACACAAAATAGATACACTAGATTAACAGAGTAATAAGGGAGCGTAAATAATCAATTGGACTAAGATAAAACGGTTTTGAGCTCCTTTGAGTCAAACGGGTAATGTTGTCCTGGGACGTTGCGCTTAACACATCGCAACCATGGGTGAAGGGGGGGGGGGGCAGTGGAACCAGGTAAGAAGTGGCTGTAAGTAGTCAAAAATGTCTTAAACGTAGGTACTGGACGGCCCCGAGTACGCTTGCATGTAAAGTCAGCATTGCGACATCGGGAATGTCTGCGCTCTTCCAACATATGCCCACCACATCAGACGAGGCCAAGGCATGAGCACTGAAACCAATACTGTTGAATAATAACTTCAGGGCATAGCGATCACGGATCAGGGTTGAAGCATCGTCGTTCGATGAGGCTGGTGGTCCAGATCGCTGATATGTCAGCACGTTCACTATGGTATAGCTTGATTGTTTGCCATCTCTCGTCCAGATCACAGGCCCTAACTTCTTAGCTTATATTGACACAGCAAGGGTGAACATACCCAAACTCTTGCGAGCGTTGGGACACCGGAGACGTTTAGTCAAACACGATTTTTACGCGTTGTTTTCAAGGCAATTCGCATGGTCACCATTTGAATTTTGTGCCGAGCGAATCTAGAGACCTGACCGGGAATAATGAGCATGCATGTGTGAAAAGACTAGCTTCTTCCAGCCATCATGGATTGGTCACGAACTGGCATGGAAGCCATGGCTTTGGAATCAAATGCTGAACTCTAGTCGTGATTAAATCTGCCCACTTTGTTGCTGCTAATAAGCATCTACCTACACACTCAGTATCGTTATTTTTGAAGGCATTAGGCGTACCCAAAAAGGAAACTAACCTTCTTCTCCAGGGTGAAGAAAAACATGCATCATCCGACAAGCAGCCCTTAATCCGCGACAAAAGCTAGGCAGCCACATTTTGCTACATGTGCACATTTTGCTTGGTTCCCGGCGCCATAGTGCTATGAACTAAAACATGGCTGTGGTGGTCGTGTGAGGTGATTTTAATGTCACTCTGCTGCACGGGGTTGGCTCACGGTGTGCCAAAGTTTGCTTAAGACAGTTTCCTATTGAGTTAGTCATTCTACTCATCACCATACCTTGAATGCGGTTGCAAGCATCACAATAAACTGCCCATTTAATTATGGCCTTGACTTTGTGAACATGTATCTTCGTCATAAATATGGTATTGAAATAAGCCATTAAAGGGAGTGTTCAACATTTGTATGCAGCATTGACCTGAAATGGCCATCTAGCGTCTGTTTTAAGTGCATTTGGTAAGAAAATTATGTATATAGACAGAACCGTACAGTCGTAGTATAAATAAACAGTAGTGTAAAAGAACACAGATAACAGTTGTGTAGATCGAACAGTTGGCTCTATTTATCTCGGAATAACCAGGAAAATCTCTCTATCTATGTGTCTAGCTATCTAGCTATCTATTTTTTTCCACTTTTGGTTTTTGACGAGGAATAAGGTTAGCGGCACTGTTATATATATATATATATATATATATATATATATATATGCATATGTATGATATAGCCATCTTGAACATCATTCGGTGCAGTTTACAACCCTTTGCTTTTTAAGGCCTAAACCCGCCTAGTTTCTGAGCCATGCAACCGCGAAGATGTACAGATTATTTGGTGCAAACTTTCAAGGCTACCTAGGTATCCATGAAGCCACAATAACGATATTCAGATCCTGCCATTCCACTGGACATAGGGCGTTCGGGGTAAGTACAAATATAATTGGCAAGTGCTCATGTCCAGCGTTCACAAACCCGATTTTCAGGTATCATGTCCATCAACTGGCCATTAATCACTGTTATACAAGCTATGCAAGATTGTAACACAAATTGCGCTTTGTGCTACATGAACAAAAAGTTAGCAGCCCTCCTGGCATTACAGATATTAGACTTGTAATCGAATGACTTGAGACTAGCGCTATAACCGAGCATACGAATACAAGCTAGCACGTTAAACCCGCGGATAAACATGCAAGAGCACCACGACAAAAAGGCCAAAATACGGGCACCGAACGACATTTGGTTCAGCACAAATCCAGCATCGTTGTGGACCACCTCCGAGAGACTGAAGACCCACAAGTGAGTGCTGTCATTCAGACGTCATAAAAATGACGTATTGAGGAACGTTTTAACTAAATAAGGAGATTTTGTTATCTAGAGCAGCCTTTTCCACTAAAAAGTATATCGATAGTAATGAGTCAGTTTATGTCACCATATATGATGCTTGCTTCAACGTCTTTAAATATGAAACACTTCCTTTAAAGGAAGTAGCTCACATTTGTATGGGGTTTTGAACTGAACTCACCATCTTGAGGATCATTCGGTGTGATTCACAGCCCTGCCGTCTAAGACTTAAACCCCTCTAGCCTCTGAGCTACACGCCCGCTGAGAAGTACACACTATTTCGGTAGGCTGTTTCAAGATCATCCAGGCATTCATGACACCAAAATAACGTTATTCAAATACTGGCATTACATTAGCCAGGCGGTGATCAAAGCCAAGAAAACATAATTGTTGAGCCTTTCATATTTGGCGTTCATGGGCAAGACTTCCAGATATCACGGCCTTCCATTGGCCTCCAATCAATTTGCGCAAGGTGCGTAGACGTAATGAAACAGTGACGTAATGAGGAACATATGCACCAAACAGAGCAACTGTGTCGTGTCGAGCAGTCTCTCTACTTAAAAGTATACTAGTATTTATTGGCGGAGCGTTGTGTCTCGTGTCTGGATTGGTGGGAGGCTGCTACGATCAGCCGGTACCGCCCGCATGGTTGAGGCCCACGTCGTGCGACGATCGGTTGGTCAGCGGAGATCACGTAGTCCGGAAGTGGGGTCGGCCGGAGGTTTCTGAACAATACGTCACGTCAGGGTCGGGTGGCTACCACACGATCATTCTGACCTGGGAGCAAGACGAGGTGAGCATGTGTGACGTTATGCTTGCATTGGTGGACCCACACGCGTCAGATTATTTAGAGGCTAGTATTACGTTAATGTAAGTTGTGAGAAGGAGAAATCCTAGATAAACTATAGAAGACGCTACATAATTTTTGGCGACAAGGTGGTTTTAGAGGCTGGAGACCTAGTAAGCCGATCATTTTCTTCATTGTGACTTGCTTTGCTATTATTCAACAAGATTGTGCCGTTGTTGTGTACTTGTTCTGTGATTGTGCCACTGTTGGTTGTGTCACTAAACCGCAGGAAGTGTAAGTTCATGACGAACTCGCCAGACTTCCTGGGCTTCACCGTGGATGCTGCAGGCATCTCGGTCAGCAGGGACGGGACTAAGGGCCTGGCAGACATTCAATCACTGACATTGTGGAAGGACCTGCAGGCAGGGTTGGGACTGTTTGGATGCGTAAGCCTGAAGTGTACTGATATATACTCTCGAGGTATCGATTCCATTCAAGTGTACTTAACACCTGCAAGCTGTCCTCCAAGTCTATTGTCATGCACGGCTGTGCCCCCACCTTTCTTGGCTACGGCTGGCAAGCCGACCGTGACTTGGACCAATCAGTTACGGGAGTTTAAAATCGGGGCTGCTTCTCAAAACTGGAACGAATGGGCTATGACTCTTACTAAGCTTTGGTGGGACGGGAAGGACATCATCTGCATTTTGCTCAGCAGGCAGTTGCTGGTACGTGAGCAGATGCAGTGCAGGATTTGGAAACAAATCGGCAGGAGGTAGAACTGGACCTCATTTCAGTCATCTGTCCCGTCTTTCGAAATTCGTTTCTGGGAAAAGGGGGGCACTCATTAGAAGAGGACCCTCTTCAGGCGTTGTTCTCAGAAGGATGGACAATCGGCGTTGTTTTCAACAGGATGGACAGTCGGCGTTGTTTTCAACAGGATGGACAGTCGGCGTTGTTTTCAGCAGGATGGACAGTTGGCGTTGTTTTCAGCAGGATGGACAGTCGGTGTTGTTCTCAGCAGGATGGACAGTCAGCTCTTCAGGCGTTGTTTTCAGCGGGATGGACAGTCGGCGTTGTTTTCAGCAGGATGGACAGTCGGCGTTGTTCTCAGCAGGATGGACAGTCGGCGTTGTTCTCAGCAGGATGGATAGTCCGGCCTTCAGGCGTTGTTCTCAGCAGGATGGACAATCGGCGTTGTTCTCAGCGGGATGGACAGTCGGTTCTTCAGGCGTTGTTTTCAGCAGGATGGACAGTCGGCTGAGATATATGCGGCCAAGCCACAGGCCTTGATCATGAAGTGTGAATTTGGAGATAATAGCGCGCAGTTTGTGTGTGAATAGTTTATAGAAGGCTGCAGGTTTGATAAACCAAGAAAAAAACCGTGTGATGTGGAGTCTCTGACACTGGCAAAGGTATCAGAAAAGGCTCGAGTCGTGCAGA